AAGTTAATATATTAGAAGTGTTAGTAAGAGTATTAAATCTAAAATTTTAGAGTGCAAACCACGAACTGTCTTTTAAAACAGCAAATAGCAATTGGATCATCACACATGAAATGCAATTTATCTATTACGTGGTACCACTTTGACTGCATTTTTTTTTTTTAAAAAAAATAAGTAATGGCTCTGGTTGTATTGAACTCTATCTCAAAGCAGGGAAGAAACATCCTCCATAAGATTTTATGAAAGTTAATGTTGATATTTCTTATTTGCCTAATTTTGATTTGGCGGTATTAGCTATGTTAGGGGTGAAATTCTAATGGGAAGTCTATTTTAGGAAAGATGTAATTCTGTTTAACTCTCTCCTCTTATGGCTGAAATTACAGCATTATTAAAGACCATATAATTAGTAGTGGAAATGGGGTTAGATTATGTAATTTTTGAATTTGATAATGAGGCGTTAATATCATATGTACAACAAGCTACCAAACTTCTTTGGAAGATCAATTCTATCATACATAATATCAGAGGTATTTGTATTTTTAGGCTAAATTTCTTATTTTCGTTTGTTTCCCCCAAAAAAAAAAAAAAATGTAGCAGATTGGATGGTAAAATCTACTCTTAAAAGACAATTCCCATACTATTGGGCTCATTGTCCAGCTGATATTTTGTTACATATACTGTTTAAAGATATTATATCATAAAGTATTGACTATAATCTTATTATAAATAATATATAAATATTTTTCTTTTTCTCTATTTAAAAAAAGAGGAAGAAAAACTCTAATGTGTAACTCAAGTACTTACTGTATGAATTTACATATATATCATCGGAATTCAATTTCCCTTTGTCCCCATTCCGCCCTCCCTTGACCCCCAATTCCCCTAGTTCAACAAAAAAAGAAGAAGGGCGAGGAAGAAGCAAGTTGCTTAAACATCTACAATCATGAGATACCTAAATAATTCAACTGCAGATTATTGCTGACATGTGGAGAAAGTCTTTAAAGCTGTTTCAACGTTTTACAAATTACACGTGCAGGTTAGCATCTACTCAACTTGCTACTTGGATACCATAGGAGTTTTAGGGTGAGTTTGAAATTACACGAGAGTTTTTTTTGGGTAGTTATATAGTATTTTTAAATATACGTATTTGATAATTTTTTTAAAATTATTTTGTTTTTAAAACTACAAAAAATCATAGTAATGTATAATAATTTTATGCATAAACTTAAAAATCTCATTTTAAAACTTTTTGTCTATAACTTTTATAGAAAATATTTAATATAATTTAAATTATCCATTATAATTTAATTTCGTATAATTTATAATATTTTAATAATGATAAGAAATTAAAAAACTTAAATTATTCAAAAATAATAAATATTATTTATTTTAATAATTATATATTATAATATTTTTAAAATTTTCATTAATAATAAATAAAATTTACCATATTTCATTTATAATACTTTTAAAAAATAAATAATCAAATA